GACTGCGCTGCGCCCGGCAGCCACTGCCTCGGCCCTGCTCTGGCTGCCAGGACCAGGCGCCTCCAAGGACACCCTGGAGGAGACAGTGCGGGGTCTCTGGGAAGACACAAGTGGTGCCCATTGCTCCTCAGGGACAAGGCGGGTGTCGTGGGCATGGGACAGCTCTGAGGACTGAGGACATAGGTACAGGAGTCGGCCAAGCCAGGAGACAAGTGGGCCATGGGGCATGTGCGGGCTGAGACGGACTCCGGGCGTGGGCTGGGGAGGGGCACTCGGGCAGCGCCTCCCCCGTGCCCGGGTTTAACTCAAGGTCACGCCGAGTTCGTCGGTACCTTTAATCGGTGACAGCTGGTAGGACTGCCGTCCCTCCTGGTGGCCTGCGAGCAGCACACCCGTGCCCATGCTGCCCCCTCAGCGAGGAGGCGGCCTGGGGCAGTGACCGGCCTGTCCCTCCAGGGACGGTGAGGGCCGCCCCGGCTGCAGGGCCGTGTTGCTGGGCAGGGCCTGAGACTCGAAGCCAGGTCAGCAGTGAGCAAAGTGGGCCTCCCCCACGTCCCGCAGATCAAGACCCGCGACGCCAGGCGGGCCGGCGCAGGTGACGTTGTAGGTGTGCACGGGGGGCTGGCTGTCGTCCCCCTCAGTGACGGCCTGGACGAAGCGGGGGACGACGCTGGGGTTCTGCAGGGCAAAGTCCCGCAGCGCTTTGAGGGGGCAGCGGCAGTCCCAGGGGTTGCCGTCCAACCACAGGCGCTCCAGGCCCGGGGACTGTGGCTCGAAGCTCTGCAGCGAGTTGTTCCAAAAAAAAAGCCGGCCCAGCGGCAGGAAGAGGCGGGGGGCCAGCGCCTGCAGGCGGTTGTGCGAGACGTCCAGCCAGAAGGCCCGCTGCAGCGGGCGCAGGGCATCGGCGGGCAGCTCTGCCAGCTGGTTGCGGGACAGCAGCAGGTATTCAAGCTTGCCGAGGCCCTGGGCTGGGCAGGTGCGTGAGCTGGTTGGCGGTGAGGTCGAGCTCCTGCAGCTCCGGCAGCCCCCACAGGCTCTGCTCAGCCAAGCCCATGACGCCACTGCCCTTGAGGAAGAGCCAGGGCAGCCCCGTGAGGCCGGCGAAGGTGTGCGGGCGCAGGCGGCCCAGGCAGCTGCCCTCCAGGTGCAGGCTGTGCAGCTTGGCCAGGCCCTGGAACGCCTGCTCCGGCAAGGCCCGCAGGCAGTTCCCGGAGAGGTTCAGGACCGCCGCGTTGGGGAGGCCCAGGAAGGCGCCGGCCTGGACCTCCTGGATCCGGTTGTCGTTGAGCGCCAGCACCTCCAGCCGGCCCAGGCCCTCGAAGGTTCTCTCTGCCAGCAGCTGCAGGCGGTTGTGGCCAAGCTGCAGCTCCTCCAGGAAATGCAGGTCCTTGAAGGTGCGGGGCCGCAGGCTGGCGATGGCGTTGTGTGCCAGGCGCAGCACGTGCAGGCCCAGCAGGCCTGGGAAGGTGTCCTCCAGGAGGCCAGCCACGCGGTTGTGCGACAGGTCGAGCCAGCGCAGCGCCCGCATGCCCAGGAAGGCGCCCGGAGCCACAGCACCAATGAGGTTGCGGTGCAGCAGCAGCTTCTGCAGCCGGGGCAGCTGCGTGAAGACGCCGGCCTTGACGCTGCGCAGCGCGTTCCCGCTCAGGTCCAGCTGGCGCAGCTCGCCCAGAGGCTGGCTGCAGGTAGGCCAGCTTGTTGCCGGCCAGCACCAGCTCGCGCAGCTCAGCCAGGCCCTGGAAGGCCGTGTCGGGGAGCACCACCAGGCTGTTCCAGCCGAGGTTGAGGTCCCAGAGCTGGCCCAGGCCCTGGAAGAGGCCCTCTTCCACCCGCCCCAGGAGGTTGTTGTTGAGGCTGAGCGAGGCCAGGCCTGGCGTGTGCGCGAACGTGCCGGCCGCTAGGCTCCGCAGCTGGTTCCGCTCCAGGTGCAGGTGGTGCAGCAGCTGCAGGCCCAGGAGTGCCTGTGGTGCCAGACCGCCCAGCCGGCTGCCCTGCAGGTTGAGGAAATCCAGGCCGGACAGGTTCCGGAAGGCTGCCGGGGGGATGGAGGAGAGGTTGTTCCCATCCAGCCACAGAGCCCTGGTGCCCCCCGGGATGCCGTCGGGCAGCCGCGTGAGGTTCCTGGAGCTGCAGAAGACGTCGAGCTCTTCCGTGTCATCGTCATAACTGCAGACGCAGGCGACCGGGCACGGGGGGCCCTCGGCGTCCCCAGGCACCCCGGGCTCCACTTCTCCCGGGCTGCAGGTGCCCAGCGCTGCCCAGGAGACCAGCAGCACCACCAGGGCCGGGCCTCCTGCGGGGAGAGGAGCTGCACCTTGGTGCCTTGCTCTGTCCGAGGGCCTGGGATGCTCCCGGACCTCAGCCAGAGCAGGAGCCCATGAGTGAGCTGAGGCGTGTGGTCACCCCAACACACAGGAGGCAAAGCCGGCAGGACGGCCAAGTCGCGCAGAAGCCAGCGTACACTCCAGGGCCCCCTGCCACTCCTGGCTTTGCTGGGTGGCACGGGCAGCCTGGACCCTGGCCTCCGGCTGTGCGGCCATCTGTATCCCCCAAGCAGGAGCTCGAGCCAGGCCAGCCTGCCGCGTTGGCGTGGAAGAGAGGGAGGGAACCTCGCCACTGGCCAAGGTCTGGCCATTTCCAGAATATTCTGAGAAGGCCCGGGCGAGGTGTACACTTGCCACAGAAGGCTGGCTAGTGAGATGGGCACCCCCCAGCAGCCCCACTGCCCACTCCAGGTGAGGAGTACACCTGGGCTTTGACGCAGCGCTGCGGGCAGTAGCCAGGTGCAGGTCTTGGGGCAATTGGCCCTTAACCTACCAGGGTAGATGGCATCTCAGATCAAGGAATCCAGGCCCCCGGCCCAGCCAGCAGCCCCCAGCAACGGTGCCCCAAACCTCCACTGGGCACTGGGCACCATCACCTGGCCTCTGCCCCCGCCTCCGAGAGCT